TTTGCTATCTGAAGTCGACTAAGCGTTCCTTATGCAGTATTTTGCTTTTACATCTGCTGTTACGTTTTGCTTAGATGCAAACTAAAAGTAGACTAGCCCGTATAAACTACCAGTGAATGAAGTTATATGAAGGGGTATTGGGCAAAAGCTTGAGGGAAGAGGTAAACATTGCCGACGTTATACTAACTATGAAGAATTTCTTTCAATCCTAGACCGGGGGATGGGATCTGGCGAAGCAGAATATTTTTATGACTGCCTGAGACTTTGAAAAAGTTTATAGCAAAATACCAAAGATAACATGTCTATCATGATAGAAAAGCAGGTTCCAGTGCAGTACGTGATGCGCACACAAGACATTGAGGACATGATGATTGTAAGTACGTGCATTGAAACATGAATTCTGTGTTCGACTAAAGAATCATCTAGGGTCAGCATTGAGTCAGCATATGTTTTCGATTATGGCAGATCGCCGTAGACCTGTATGAAGCCGTCCCCTGATGTAGTGCTCTAAAGCTATAGCGGAGAAAGCATGAAGATGAAAGTTGAAGCGTGACGAAAGGTTCATGAAGAAAAACGCACTTGATCGCAATGAAAATATGGAAAACTTTAAAGAGTCGAAGGTAGATTGTTATCTTCTAGGAATTCGAGTATTTTGATGCCATCGCATAAGATAACCTGGAAATTGACCGCGGATTAAGAAAGCTGTCAAAAAGGCTTGACTTAGCAAGAGATGTGACAGTCATGCTTAAAAAAAGAAAGTTCCACGGCGTCCTCAAAGGAAAACTGGATTTTCGGCGCCGTTGCAGAGACTAGTGCTGCAAATAAACTCTGGAGAAATGTTGACCCTCAGATAGATAAGGACGACAAGACGCACGCCCGAAGCACCTTCATAAGTATTTTTTTTATTATTTAGCACTGATAACAGAGAAACTTACCAAAATGATATATGGGTTGATCCATGCAGTAACGAATACTTGACATTGACGCACTCAGTGAATTCATGTAAATACTGAGAAGCAGTAGAAGAAATGACCAAAAGAAAAATGGCGACATGTTATGAAGAATGGTTTGAAGCTTCAAGATGATCGATGACCTGATCAGGTATCAGAGGTCTGTGTGTTGTTTTGTGGTGGGTTGAGTTTTACTTGTACAGCTGATCTCTGTTAAAGGAAGTGAGCTAGAATGAAGTGGTGTGAAAGATCAGCTACACATAGCGGATATGGCAGTAAAAAATGTGGAACTGAAATCAGGCCTGTGGCAGTTTACAGGTCTTTGTCATCTATGAGACTTAAAGCTCGTCAGTGTGTCATAAAGTGGTTAATATGATCAAATGGCGGTTAAAGGTCACCAGAACTATAAATCTATGCAGCCTTTATGAAGTGATGCCAAGTGACGTCGCTTTAGGGGCGTGATTCATATACCTAACGAAATGTTCTTTTCTCTATTATTTAACTTCTTACCGTACTTTCGTTTTTTACGGTCGATGAACGTTGATCGTCATATTGCTTTGTTTTATATTATTCGTGAATTCT